GCCCCCAACCTGCAGCAGGAGCGGGAGAGCACTGTGTGATGGCGTGGCTCCTTTGCCCCCTCCTCCTTCTCCGGAGCGTGGCCTGCCGCGTGGCTGCAGATGGGCAGGCAAGGAGACACAGGTTGCTGGGAGCAGTGCTGCTTGGGGGGGGCAACAGCTGAAGGGGTGATGGAGGCTGGAGACGGCTGGGGTTTTGTGGTGCGAGTTTGGGACACTTGGAGGGGGGGCTGTTGACAAAGGCATCTGGGACGGGGGAGCAGACGAGTGGCGGGTTTTTTGGCAGAAAATCCAAAGAAATTCCGATGATGCATTATTTGCAAAAGGCGACAGCAAAGGACAGGCCATGATAAGCCAAGTGGGACAGGAGGAGGAGGAAAGGGGAGAGGGGCCGGCAATTGGGGGGGGGCATGGGGTGCGTGAAGGAAAGGATTCTGGTTAAGTGTTGTACCTGGTTGGGAAGAGGTGCAGAGAGCGCGTGCAAAGTGGAGTTTGAATTGTGGGAAGTCACGAGGGTCCGTGGAAAGGAAGTGGGAAGAATTGAGAGAAACATCTGGAGATGAGCCGAGGCGAAGAGCATCTTCCCCCCCCACCCCCACTTACATCTTTTCTCCTATGTGTCCCTGTGGGAGGGGGGGTCAAGATGGTGGGTGGGAGGGGGGAACACCTCGTTCACCGCCCCCCCCCAGCTGGGGCTCTTTCCCTGCCCCCCTGGCTTGGTGGGGCAGGTGAAAATCTGCAGCTTGGCTGCCTCTGTCTCGGATCGAGGCCTGTGGGGGCTCATCCCCCCCCCACACCCCACCCCACTTTCACTGCTGCTGAGATGAGAGATTCCGTGGGCCAAAGGTGGAGGAGGGAGACATGAGATGTTTTGGGCCCGTTTTTGGGGTGGAGGAGCAAGACTTGGCAGGTGGTGGAGTTGGGCACCCTTCCCCTCTCCCCCCCCTTTACGCTCTCTCCCCCTCCCCTACTCCCTGGGGATCCAAAGGGAGAGGGAGGGGGGCCGCCAGGCCCCTCCATGGCCAGGGGACCTGGGCTTTCCTCTGTCGGGGTTCTTTTCAAGTGTGTGCGCACACACACACACACAACCCTGTCAGCACATGGACTGCTGCTGCTGCTCCTCTTCCTGATTCTCCCCCCCCCCTTTGCAGCTTTTTGCTCCTTC